ATCCAGTTTTTGAGGAACACAATGTTCATAGATTTTGGCTCCAACGTTACGCGGATTATTTTTGCGTTTTCCATTCTCTTATGAAGCATGCTTTGTCCTAGAATAGTGCCCCATGCTTTTTGTAAACAGGGTGTCCCAAAAAATGTATCGAACGTTGATTTTTTATGAATTCTTTAAATGGAAAGCTTTGCGGATCTTTGAGTGCCATACGGTTGGGCTAGCCTCAACTGATTTTTAATATGTGCGAAACACTAATTTTTTTAGTTGCTATAGAATTACGGTAAGAATTTTCGTCTAATGTTGGGCTTCTGACAGACGAAAAATGCTTCTAAAAATTCAAAAAATCGAAGGACGTCAGACTAAGGTTTTCGGTGTGCTAAATCTGACTACAAAGTTCCGCTAGCGTACTCGTTTATTTCTTACGGTATGCGCACTGTAATTCTGATTTTTTTTCAAAATTTACTGACCTAGACTTTGTCGTAGGCTTAGTCACGCAAAGTTCAATCGAACCTTAAAAACTTTTTCATTCTTTATTAATTGCAAATAATGAGTGCAAAAAATTACGAAATCAGGTTTCAAACACAACTAATGATTTGATTTTATTGACTGATTGATTTCGACGTGTTTGTGAGTGCAAAGTTGATTTGATAAATTTAGAATAAAAAAGTTCAGCCCTACAGTGCGCATGCCGTAAGAAACCGATGAGTGCAGTAGCGGAAAGCTCTTTGATTAGATGAGCATCTCCGAAAACAGTTTGACTTCCTTCGATTTTTCTCGAATTATTTCAGAGACAATTCTCGTCTGTTCAAAAGCCTAAAAAACTTTTTCAGAAACAATTCTCGTCTGTTCAAAAGCCTAAAATTAGTCGAAATTTCTATGGTAATCCCCAATATGAGACGAACCGGTGACTCGCTCTATACTCTAAATCTAAGTTGAAGCTAACCCTACCGTGTGGCACGCAAAGATCCGCGAAAGCTTTCTATATAAAGAAGTTATTGAAAATCAAACGTTCGATACAGACACCCCTGTATTTATACTGTGGATGTAGCAAAAGAGGCGCTTATCATACCCAACTAATAATATCAAAGCGAATTATGCTCTAGCATGAGTGTGAAAGCTCACTCCATAAGTTTTGGGGCATGATCCATGTGCGCACTTCAAAAATACTTTTCACTCTTTATGAGGATTGCTGAAATGTCTTAATCTTGCAATCTCAGAAATGCCGGAATCAAGCGACGTGGACAAAATGCCGGAATCAAGCGACATGGACAAAAAGCCGGAATCAAGCGACATGGACAAACTTATTGAAATTATTCTCATTTTTTCATTGCCGGTAAGCTTTTGAGATGCTTTTGCTCATCCGAAACATCAAGGTAAAACGATGGATTACTTCAGCCATTAGCGGTTTGGTATCACAATCGAGCGTGCTCCTGTCAAGTGTGTCTCAACATCATCCTACTCTTCTTACTCGTACTACCTGCTACGATCCATGCTATGTGGTATTGCTACATGAGAAAGTAACAACTGTTGATATTACCATTTCTTACTGAATGCTCCAGACATTTTTAATAGCAACTTTAATTTACACTAGATGTTATATGCAACTTGTAATTTGCCGCATGTATTATATGAAAAGGTATAAACTGCCAGGAGAAGAAGTGATAAATAATTGCCTTTTTACGTGTATGCTTTGTGAGGTCATTTGGTTAGTGCCCT